TTTTATACAACTCACCTTCAAGTATTACAAGTATATAATCAACGTTCGTTCAATTGCTCTCATTAACGAGGTGGGGGAGAGAATAGCTTAGATATTTCAAGCACAGAGCTTAGAGCTTATCGCACTTTTTTTTTTAAAAAAAAAATTTCTTTCTTCGCACTGTGACTTCTCATATTCTTTTGCAATTTCAACACTAATATGTAATATTCTTTTGATTGATGATATGGGGTGTTTGAATGAGCTCTTTTAAGAAATGATTGTATAGTATGTGAGAAGAGTTGTGTGAAAATACTCTTCCGACATTTAATATAAGACATAATTAACTAATTTGAGTAAATTAAAATATTTTAGTATTAAATTAGTTAATACGATATTTTTTTCAAAATATCCTAATCATCTTTCTTATTCTCTCTCTTCTCTTTTTTTACTTGATTATTATTGAGAAAATATTAATAAGATTAATTTAAAAAAATTAATAAACATATGAAATAGATTTTATATATAGAACTAACATTAACTCAAACTAAATTCTATATTAGCAGCGGAGGAGTTTTTTTTTTAAGTGGTTTTGAGGTTTTCCAACTCTCTCATATTAGTTCTCACTTCTCAGCATATATTTATTTTGCTTTGTTTGTTATGTGCTGTACTAATGGGTTAGAGATAATGAGTCTATGTGGTTTAGCTTGGCATTTTCTTTTATGGCGTTAAAAAAAAAAAACAAAAAGAATAGAAAACTTTTTCTTTTTTTTTTTTTTTCTTTGGGGAGGGGCCGGGGGGAATACGGGCAAATCCCTATCCATGCAGATATGTTTATTAATTGCATTCTCAATAAGGAAAAAAAAATCTTAATTACATTCTCAACTCGTTATGGCAAACACAACGACACAACCATTTTGGTCTAGAGTGAAGAATTACGTGTTGCAATGATATCAACTAATTATCTCTAATGGTGCTTCCCCGTTTCATTACTGAAAAAACGATAGCTCGTGCCTTGCAATGAATTTGTTACATCATATTCAGCAATATGCCCTCAGATGAATTCCAAATTCACCATAGTAACACTATTTGTTATCCTTAATATAAGTTAATTGACTAATTTGAGTATATTAGAAAATTGCTAAATTAATTATTTGTAATAAATAATTCTTATCTTTTCTAAAATATTTCTCATAAAACTATCATTTGACAAAACCTTAACATATTCTATTACTACAAAGAATGCTTTATAAAAAAGATAACATGAGAGACAAAAAGAATTAAGATTTTATATTTAAGATCAAATTAAATATTAAACTAACTTTTTGATACAACATCAGAACAAAATATAATGTGCTTCTGTGTTCTTAATTTTCTCTACTTCATCTAGATCACTTAATTTTCACAGTATAATTGAATTAAGAGTTAATGTACTACAAATTATTTTCTTAGATACCTCCAGTAACCCGAATATTCTGTGATATATCTATACCTTAACATATTTTTTAAGTGTGTCTAACAGCCTCAAATATTTTTTTGCCTCCGTGCTTGATGCACCAAAAATAAACACACCTAAAAAAAATACTTGATGATACTGAATGTACTGAAAAAAATTTCAAGATGCTAAATTCATCACAAAATATTCTCGGAAAAATACTTTAGGATGCACCTTAACCCTTGAATTAATTACCTAGCATTACTAATCCGTGTGAAATAGTTCCCAGCTAATGAGGCAACTAGATAATATTAGAGCCCAACTGATCACAGATACTGTGCAAATTATACATTATTTGGAATTTGGTGTCCCTGTAAGCGTTCAACAGCTATGAAGAACAAAAATGACGTTGAAAACAGGAAGACTCAATTATTAAGGATTTTCGGAGATGCCCCACGGCGTCAGGTCCCCTCAAATGACATATTTGGCATGAAAGATCACATCCCTCAAGGAGTGATCCCCAGTATGATTGGCTGATAATCACTGGCATCAGCCGTAAAAGATGGGATACAGAATGGATGTTGCACCAGAATTGGACGAACATTGCAGCTTCAACCCAAGGATGCCCCAACAATGGCTAGGGACTCCTCCACTGAAGATGCCTTTTCAAGTTTAGCTTTATCAACTACAGGCTGACTTCTGGCAAGTTTGGGCAGCAGCTGAAATTCCTGAGTTATACGACACCCCATTAGTTTTCCGGGTATGATTTGACACGCGACCCAATATAGCAGGAATGGTTCTCTATGATTATCATTTATCAGTGCCTTTCTAATCAATCAGCACTGCTCTCTTTACACATTCCAAGGTCCCAATTTTTAATTTCAAAATACAAGACAAACTTCCCATAAACTAGCTCCAGTGTGGCGAGCAAATTACTGCGTAAATCTAGTTTAATTATTTCAACTATATTAGTATCGTTGAGGATAGAGCGGTTAAGTACCTCAGGGCTCCCACTTTCAAGGAGGACTCCTTTTAGCTTGCCTGCGAGGTATCAAGTTTCCACGTTCTTAGTCACAGCCAGTCATGGCAAGAAAGTGTTATCAAACTACCACAACAGAATGCACGCACGCTTACAAACCACCCTTTTATACACTCATACAAAGGTACAACCCAACACCCACACACACGATGGAAAGACAGTAAATAAACCAATTACCAGATTCAATCCAGAATGTAGCAATTTTAGGATCGAAATTCCCAATTTCAACTGTTTCCCCAACTGTCCAAAGCAAAATCGTCATTAAGAGCAATAAGTGATTGAAATTTCATAAAAAGACCAGGCAATGATATATTATTGAAGTTGATGTTTACCATTGTCTCCAAAAAATTGCCACCAAACTTTCCTGGAGCTCCCTTCATATTCAAACACCCTTGAGTAGAAGTATGGAAGATAATCATACCTGAAAACCATCGAAAAAGAATATTCAAATACCAGGAGTGAAAAAAAGAAATGCTTTACCAAAACTGAAGTTCAATAAGTCACAGAAACTGAAGACAAACATACGCGTGGGTTTGTGCACTGAGTAATGATTTCACACAATGATGTGCAGAGCGACGAGCATGATCCACATGTTCAACTCGAGCAACACGATTGTATATCTGTTCGGTTTTTTATAAGCACGTGATTTCACATTGAAAATGACTGATAACGACTCAACTCAAGAATAGCAAACCTTCAGTGGGAAAGCTGCTACATCACCAATGGCAAAGATTCCAGGAATACTTGTCCGAAACTGACCATCCACCTGAAATAGGTGATTCCTTTAGATGAAGTCCTTCAGAGTCTAATTTGGGTTTTACGCTTATACACACTGAAATTACATCTGCAAATCGGGGTGACTTAAAGAAAGTGTACGTGATCTTCAGAAAGTAATAAAGCGACTAATTTCAAAACATTGCCTCACAGAAGCTTTAAAAAAAAAAAAAAGGAAATAAGCATCACAACAAAATCTATAATAGATCTTTTTATTTTTTGAAAGAATAACCATGATCAAGAATTTTGTTGCCAATAGTTTATCATTCGTTAGACTCACCTGTATGCCACCAACATCTTTATTCAGACCTAGCCTCTCGAAGGGGCTAACTGCAGGTTTTGCTCCAATGCCCACAACAACCTGCAAATGGAAAGCAAATTTGTTTATTGAATTTGTCCTCCTTCTATGATGATAGCACCTCTATTATATAGTGCAGCAAGTTAGTCACAGTCAGATATGAAAAATATATATATTATTACTGTATCTGCATCTATAGTAGATCCATCTCCAAGTTTCACAGCAGTTACGTGCCCATTAGAATCGGCTTCCAAGTTTTTTATAGAAGCACCCTGGTTGATATAAAATTCAAAAGAAAGAAAAATTAGAGGAAGAGTTTGAAGAAGTTATTGTCTGCACAAACATCAAAGATACCCATTAGAAGTTACAACAATGGGAAGATTAATAGAACGAGAGAATCAGGGAAAGAGGGATTGCCTTTAAGATTTTGACACCATTCTTCTGGTAGAGTTCTTCATATCTTCGAGCAAGAGAAGGAGTGAACAGTCTTTGCAAAAAATGATCCTCTGGAAATATAATCTAGTTTAAAGGACATATAAATATTCATGAATTAGCAGATGAAAACTAATATACAAAATGACCAGCCATCTTTAACATAATTAAAAGCAGGAACATGTGGAGGATAAACCAACATTGAATATGGCACAGCTGAAAATGATGAAATGAAACAATGAAGGCTTGATATAGAAATTGCCAACCAGAAAAACCCGGCAATAACGATTTGATAGAGGCAGAATACGTACTGTTGTGTCAAGCTGCCAGCCAACAGCAGCAGCAGCAACCTCCATTCCTATATAACCACCTCCAACAATAACTACCTTGCGTGCTTTCCCCTAATAAAATGCGTTAAGATCAATTTATTTGATCTACATTACATATTAAACAATATAATGATTTTGATGTATCATTTGCACGAAACACATGCAACTTCTCTCAAGTCACACTGAAGTTATGCTTATTCTAGGCATTGGGACAGTAATATCCTTGGAAAAATTCTAAGGACTGACAGAAAAAAAAAATGAAATGAAAATTCGAAGGGTATCTAAAAGCATGAGCTACAAGATCAAATTATCCGCTCAAATTAAAGAAACATTAAGTCACAATATTAGCATGATTAAGATTACCAATGATGAAACTAGTGAATCAGCATCAGCAACATCACGGATGTAATGAACACCAGGTAGATTTCCCCCAATTTTCTCTGGGAATCTAAAAGCAAGATAGACAGGATAGATGATTTTTTGCACCAGTTATTGCATATACAACTTGAAGACCAAGAGAAAAGAGACAGACACCTTGAGGCTGTAGATCCTGTAGCAATAATAAGTGAACCATACTTAAGCAGTTTTCCAGAATTCGTTGTCAATGTTTGCTGTTCAGTATCAATGCTTTTTACTGGATCTTGATATAACATCTACACAGAACAACAGCAAGAAATAAACGATTTTAAAAAAAAGTAAATGAATGAAAACTGGAAAATACCAGGCCTTGGTTCTTCCCTAATATAAAAACTTTTCTAGTGTGATGCTAGCCTAAATAATCAGAATATGAGATTTTGCCATTCAATTTAAAAGGAATCACCTATATCCATTGTACCACGCATGATAGAAGATGAACTTTTACTGGCATGGAAAATGACGAAATCATCCACAAAAGACAAAATGGTAGCAAGAGCAAAACAAAGATTACCTCTATCCCTTTCTCCTCATACCACTCTGGAGTCTGCCTCTCACCACCGGATCCAACACAAGTGTGAAATCCCTATTAAAAGTTTAAAAGCACGATAATGACGTCACATTGTAACTTCCACTAACAAGCTGCAAGAAAGCATGATAGGCAGCCGCTTTATGCATAATAGCAACATCTGAAGTACAATAGTTAAGAGCATGGTTCAATCAATGATATACTTTCAAGCCTTGCAATGACGGACGAAAATTTCAGGTAAAGATACAAATCATCAGTTCACTATATGTGCCTAAAAGAGTAAATTCGTACAGGAAGGCGCGCGGGGTTCTTATCTGGCGGGAATAGGTAGCCTTTTGTTAAAGCCGGACGCTCGTAAGGCGCATATGCCTGTTTAGTGAATTCAAACACAGAAAGAGATCAACAGAAGGTATGGAACATATAGCTAAAGAAATGAGCACAAAGGAGACAGTGAAGATAGAAAAATGCAACATGGCTGAGCAGCCAGGTCAGGCAACCTCTTTAGTCACTATACACAGACGTCCATCCGCCATGCCGTGCTCGACGAAAGTTCGAGCAGCATATCCTGCGGCATTTCCACCCCCAACAATCACATACCTGCAATAATTGGAAGATGATTAAAAGGGGATGAAAGAAAAGAAAAGATCAAGACATCGAATGTCGAACAGAAACGGAAGGAGAAACAGCCAAAGTGAGGAACATACTCCCGATTTTCATTAGCGAAAGCCGCGTAGCATCTCGAGAAGGATCTGAAAGTGATTGAAGAAGAACGGTTAGGTCGATTGAGAGACCCAGTTTGAGGACACCAAAGTGAGAGGCCGTGCTTCAGGGACAAGGAATTGGAGATGGCTGCCATTGTGAATCTACGAACTGTTGCCCGTACAACCAAAAAACAGAAATCACGGAAAATGAGATGGATGAACAGAATCAAATTGCAAAGGAGCAGAAGAGCCAACAAGTAAAACACTGGAACCTGAAGACATTGACGCTTGGCAATGGATTAAATAATTTATAGATGAAGTTGAAGAAATTATTTTATTCAAGAAGGATCCTTGGCCCTAGAGGAGGTCGAAGGGGCGTGACGTCTAATCCTGATACAGGATATAAAAAGAGGGGCGTATCTTGGGTAAGGAGTTTTAGGATCGCGATTGGTACAGACGAGCTCTCGGAACTTGGCGGGTAAAGTTCGCTGACTGATCGCCCTATGGGAGCCAAAAAAACGAAGCCATGGCCGTTTTTCTGGAAGAGAGATGGCAATAAAGCTCTTTTACGACATCGTTTTGGTATTTCTTTCTTTTTTTCCACAAAATTATTTTGGTAATTTGGTTCGCAGTGTTCTGTCGGCACTTGCATCAGTTGTTGCATGAAGCATGATAGTCTTTTCCTTTTTCCGTTTTTCCGGAAGGATGAAATAAGGGGGGAAATAATGTGTTGCATCCAGCGTCGGTAACAAGGCGTGAACTTGGCTCATTGATTTTGGTTCTGTTTAAGTGAGGTTCAACAGTACTACATTAATAAAATGAAAGTTAAACAAACAAAATATGTTATTTCCAGAATCAATGCATTAATACTACTAATTTTAAAAAAAAAGTTAAACAATTGTCCTGTTAATAGTTTATTCCCTCTAAAATGCTAGCTTGGTTCACAAACTTATCTTTCTGCGTTGAGATGGACCGAATCTTTATGATCTATAAGTTGACCGAGCCTTTGGTTTATTTTAAAATGGACTGGGTCTTTATAATTCTATGAGTTGCACAAGTGAATCCTCTTAAATGGTGTATTTTTTTCCTCCCAATCCCCCATCGAACCTATTCATCTAGACAGGGGTTTTGGACCCAGATATGATCACGTCTCATCAAACATCAAACATTGATTATAAGGTTTGTCGGCATTCATGAATATTTGGGCTTGAAATGCGAAGGAAAGCAAAACGGGAAATGGGTCTCCTGAGTTATAAACAGGGAATTATGAAATGACCAAATTCGTAAACAGTCGAGAATAAAACGGATTAGACGACTACCGAAAGGGGCCAGAAAAATTAATTGCTGGGAAACCAAGGAAGGCAGGCAAAGCCCAGGATGGGTTTAAGGCAAAGCCTGTCTAAGTGCATACATCAGAATATGCTGAAGACGAAGAAGTCCGACATCATGGATAAGCATGCTAGGCGTCCCTTCCTTCTATGCTCCTCTTTTACTCCGCTCAAGAGGCTACATATTCACCCGGTGTTAAAATAAAGTTTTAGTTTCTTCCTTTGCTGCTCATCTTAATACTTCTGGTAGTTCTAGAATTGATGTGCCAACCACTATCTACACCCTCGCAGTACCCTTTTTCCACATGACAACATTGTTCTCTGCTTCAGCAGAGGAAATGAATATATCGAATATATCTTTCTTCTATCGAAAACAATTTTATTTAAAGTATTGTCTTACACTAAACGTGGATACTTCTCCAAACAGGAATTCAAACTTTGATTCGTCACGTTACGAGGAATTAACTCTTTCCACTAAACCAACCCCCATTAGTATAGATGGAATATGTTGTTCATTCATAGCACAATCTTAGCAAAAATGGATCAAACTTACAAGTGCGTTAGTTATTAGCGAATCCATTTACATATCGTGCCAACCTCAATGGAGCGAGATTATATTTAAACTGAAGGATATGAAACGTCTCTTCAAGCATCAGATCAATAAGAGTGCAGGGCAGGGCATGCATCCGATAGAAGCCATGGAGGCGCATCAGAAAAAACATTAACATTCAAAGTCACTGACTTGAACTTGATATACACCTATATACATTTCTCCCAAGCCTTAAGTTAACAAATCTGGTTGTGTAAAACAGGCGGTGATCAAACCAAGGGGAAAAAAATATATATATATCCAGATTAAAGAAACAAGAGTGCATATCAGAATAGGCGACAACGTTACCCGTCCCACAACTCGGTGGGTGCAACGATGTAATGCTTTCTTCACCCAAATAAAAATACCAAATTTTTTTTGAAGAGTTCCTATGACTACTTACATAGGTAAAGGCCAATTAATTAACGAGGATGTAGTTATACCCATTGGCAAGTTATAACTGGTAGCCTCTTAACTTTGAAACCAACCCTAAACCTTCAAGGTTATGGTTAGGAACCCTTCCGAAGCTGCGGAGAGTGAACAGTAAAGGAGGAGGAGGAGGAGCTGCCTTTGATCTTTACAGAGTGGGCGCAGATAACTTCCCAGCTTGGTCTAAGACATCAAGAAACTCTGATCTGCTCCTCACAACCCTATGAAAAACCTCTCTGATTTGCTGCTGTAGAGGTACCAAACCTTCTTCCATCTTTCTACAAATATCTGCCAACTCTTCCACCTGCGAATTCACCTCCTCTAGGCGCTCTGCCTCCACCGGAAACTGGAACGAGTCGGTGAAATCAATCAAGGATTGGGCTATCTTCTCGAGCCTCTGCATCTCCTCCAATAGTCCCGCCGACCCTTTCTTCTCCTTCTTCTTCCACTCTTCTGCTATCTTCTCCTGCAACCCTATCATGAGTTGAGCCCAACCCAATTGCTTCGGCACTGGAAAATGAGTCCCCAACCCGGTTCTCTCTTGACACGGGATAGCCGCGACCAGAGTCCACATCACAAACACAAATATCGTGCTCATTACATAGATAGGAGAGGCTAAACCAGAAGATTCCGCGCCTCGCGGGGCCACCAGATTGGACGACATGGAGTGGATTTGTTTGGCGGCAGACCAATTCTTCGCCATGCTGCACGACAGCGCTCGGAATTGCCCCGAGACACGCTCCTTGTTCGCCGGGGCGCTGCTAGCACCTCTCCTTCCAAAAGACCAGGCTCTCTCGGTCGACTTGGCGGTGCCGTCCTTATCCTCCGCCGTCATCGCCGTGATCAGGGAGTGTAATGCCTTCTTGGCGCGTCGAGCCTGGCCATCACCAATTGGCCTCTGTTCCAGAGCAGAGACGGCTATCTCAGCGAGTTTCTGAACGTTCCGCACGGACTCCACACCGAGACAGAGCGCATTACAAATATCGAGAGCTTTGACAACCCGTTCGAGGAGCTCGGGGACGAGACGGTCGAGAGGAGGCTTGGAGATATGAGCAGGGTCACGGCCCATAATGACAACGGCCTTGAATTCCGCCTCGCAACAGAGAAACGTGTCAAGAAGCTTCCGAAGCCAGCCGATGGAAAGCAGGGCATCGCCTGTGGAATCTTCGGATGACGGCGAGAAAAGATCGGCGAATCGGTCACTGACATGTTTCTGGAAAAGCTCGAGGTCTTCTACTTCTTGGTCATGGGTGCCTTCCATCGCCATGACTTGATTCCGACGGATACTTATTCGGCCCAGAAAAGAGCCTTGATATTCGGTGGCAGGCATTTTTCCTTGCCTTTTCCGTCCTCAATGGATCGACAGATAGAGAGAGAGAGAGAGATGACAAAGGCGAAGAAGGGGACGAAGCAAACAGAGAAGGAAGTGAAGAAGACGCAGAAGAAGCTAATTCGTCGGAGGCATTGTAAGGGAACGCGTAGTTTTGTGACTGACTCAGCCCACACCCCTGAGACGTCGAACCTCAGCGGCTCAGAGGCAAAAGCGACAGAAAAAAGGTCCAATTTCCTCTGACCAACTCAAACGCCTTGCCTTATTGATCTCGATTCCCTACAACGCGCCCGCACGATCCTCACACTCCCCTCCCTTCTCTTTCCTTGTTTTGACTTTTCAGTCCCTTTGCTGGCATGTCCACCTCTTGATATATTCTACTTTTTTCCATTTGCAAACACCCCCCTCCCCCAAACCATTATATTTATCCCCTTTCCTTTTCTTTTTTTTTTTATTTGTTTCCTTGTCCACCCAGATAAAAAGATAAAGGAAGGGGCCTATGACGTGGCATTGAATTAACGAGAGATTCAGCTCAAAAAAAAAAAAGAATTAACGAGAGATTGAAGGGGATGGGGTCTCAGGGGGTGGTTGGGTTGGAAGTTAAGGTCGTTCTGGTAGTTTACATTTATTGGTACAAGATAAAGGATAAAGGAGCGTGATGAGCAGATAGATGATTATATGGATTAGCTAGATAGGGCCAGGGAGGCGTTAATTGAGGCACGAAGGGGGGGGGGGGCTTGGGAAAAAGAGTTGGGAGTTACATGTATGCATGTGAGAATTTGTGTTCCCGAATGATTCACTTCTTAGAGCCAAAGAATCTAACCATATGATGGAGCAACGTGAAGAGACAACAGTTCAAATGGGTCCAAAGTTAAATTTAAAACTTTTCTTCACCGACCTTCGCCTTCCCCCCTCATGTTAATTATTTGCTTTTTGTCTCCAAAAGTGGCCAGAGTAATAGCAGTATATTAATAATACTGCCATGATAGGCCAGCCACTTTGTGAGAGGATTAATATTTGGAGTGAGTGAATTTACAAATGTTAAGTTAGTCGAACTCGTAAATCTGCAGAAAGTTTACTTTATTTTATAGTACTAGTATATAGATATTAAATATGTAATTTTGTGTGATTCACACTATTGTAATTTAAAAATTATTGTATAAATTCTATAACATATAATGGGTATTTTTACCAAAATGCTATGAACAGTGAAATAAAATACCAAAATGCTACAGCACGGAAAGATATTACTGAAATGCTACACTTGAAATTTATCACCAGAAAATGAATTTATAAACTTTATCTTGCCCAAAACGAGTTCTTCAATAAAGTGGGCAAATTTGCAAATTCATCTGGTAGAGATGAATTTATAAAGTTCATCTTTGAGTGATGAACTTCAGAAAAAAGTACTTTTGTCCTTTTCTCCCCATTTCCATGCATATGAGCATCTTCTTCCCGTACGAATCTCTCATAACCACTTTTGTCTAAGTCAAAAAAGCAATTGAACTCTTTGCATGCGTCTGAAACTAGGAAGAATATTAAGTCATCTCATCTCCCTTGCTCGTGAAGCTACAGTAGCGTCGTGGCTTACTATAAATTTTGCATCTCTTACACCCATGAATGCGTCTGAATCGTTCGAGCTTTACTTATACATTTTGCATCTCCTCTTATGCCAGTAGCCCATGAATGCGTTTGAGTCCTCCGCATGTTGAGCTTGTGTTCCCACTTCTATCTATTTCCTAAATATTGCATTATAATCATTAATTAAGTACAACTAGGAGAAGACAAAACTTTGAAAATAGAAAGACTCACAAATCATGGTTTCTCATGCATAGTTCACATAGGTTTAAATCTAGTGCTAAAAAAATTATTCATATTTATATATGTATTATAATTCTATTTTGATTCATTCCGTACCTTTTAATTAAATTTCTAATAGTTTTAAAAGTAATATCAAATCTATGTATTATAGATGCTTAAAAATTAAATTTTTTATGATATTCATTTTTATTAATGAAAAAAGTTTAACAAAATATTGCCACCTATTTTCTTATTAATAAAAACTTACCTTTATATTATATTTTATTCTCATTATTGTATCCAAAATATTTACTAAATAGGTAAAAATTATATTATTTTAAGAAAAAATTAGGGGGAAGGACCTAGAAAAATAATATTTATTGAGAAGGATCTTAAAAATTATAATTATTTATAAGGACCAAATACTAAAATATAAGTTTAAAAATATTAAAGTACCCTTAACGAAATCCCTACATTTTTTCTTATCATGCTTCCATTGAATAGATCTTTTTTATTATCTCCCTAATTTGTAATAAAAAAATTTATAATCTTTTTCTTATCAATATTTATAACAAAATTTATTGAAAACAAATCAAAATCATTTATTATTAAGCTAAAATATCTTACATATTTAAATACAATGAAATGAAATTATTCATCTACATGAACACCCTTAGCGAATAGTTAAATTTTATCAGTCTTTATTTTATTTCAATTGAAATTTTCTCTTTTTTTTTTCAAACATCTCTTTCGTTACTTTTAGTTTTATAAATTGTTTTACCCATATATATATATATATATATTATAAATATGTTTAAATGTAAATAAACATATTTTACTTGATTTCATTAAATACAATTTAAATTTTTATAATTATTTTTCTTAACCTCAGTTTTTTAAAACAATAAATAATTAAATGAATAAAATTATTCAGATTTATTTTTATATCTAAAATTTTCATTTATTTTAATAATTTTTTAATTGTTAGTTACTTTAATACCCACCTATCAAGATCGAGTAAAACAAAAAAAATTATGAAAATTGATAGCAAATAAGGAATAATATGGGGGAAAAAGTTAAAGCTATGAATTTTTTTCTTATATATTTATTTCCAAAAAAATCATATACTTAAAAGATACTCCTCTAGTTTTATTTATAAGACAGAGAGAGTATAAATTTTGATCCTATATATAAAGCACTTGATATAATTTTTAATACAAACATACATAATTATCCTTATTAAATTATTTACACAGTTGGTACATTTTCTTCACTCCTTTATCCAATGCTAAATGTCCTTCAATTTTGTCTTCTTCTTATGCTATTATTTCCGCATGTTCCACTTCTTCTATCTCTCTCTCTATTCATCTTTTCCACTCTCCCCTACTCATTCCTGTTCTTACTCACCTCTTCTACTCTCTTTTTTTTCCTATGCCATTAGTTCTTTTCATGCATAACAGATCTGACACTTGGAAAAAAAATACTTGATGAAAATACATTTTTGTGCTTGATTAGTGTTACTTTTATAATCAAATTATGAGATGGTGGATGTGAAATTATTTCAACGGTTTTTTAATCTGTGTGAAATATACTAAAAATACCTTATAAATAAGACTAAATGGGTAATAGAGATCAAAACAAAATCTTGAGATCTTAAAACTATATAATAGAGGATTCTTACCGGCAAAATAAGAGGCACCTAAGAGTATAGATTTTTGAAATTGTTCAACCCACCACTTAGCACCTGGAGATTTAAAATAATAGTTTATCAAATAAAAAAAAAGAAGAAAATCAAATTAAATATTATAATGACAAAATAAAAAATAAATAAGAGAAATAACATACCCTCAAGGCCTCAATAGTAGTAAAAGTATGTGTCGAATGTTTGCAAGTAAGAGTAGAGAAACAAGACAGCAAAAGAATGGAGGAGGCTGGAACAACTAATAAAACGAGAGAGTAGGATGATGAGAGAGAAGAGAGAAGTCTGAATACATGAAGTGGGAACACAAGCTCAACATGCGGAGGACTCAGACGCATTCATGGGCTACTGGCATAAGAGGAGATGCAAAATGTATAAGTAAAGCTCGGACGATTCAGACGCATTCATGGGCGTAAGAGGAGATGCAAATATATAGCAAGCCACGACACTACTGTAGCTTCACGGGCAAGGGAGATGAGATGACTTAATATTCTTCCCAGCTTCAGACGCATGCAAAGAGTTCAATTGCTTTTTTAACTTAGACAAAAGTGGTTCAGAGAGATTTGTACGGGCAGAGGATGCTCATACGCATGGAAATGGGAAGAAAAGGACAAAGTACTTTTTCTGAAATTCATCACTCAAAGATGAACTTTACAAATTCATCTCTACCAGATGAATTTGCAAATTTTCCCACTTTATTGAAGAACTCGTTCTGGGCAAGATGAAGTTTATAAATTCATCTCCTGGTGATGAATTTTAAGTGTAGCATTTCGGTAATATCTTTCCGTGCTGTAGCATTTTAGTATTTTATTTCACTGTTCATAGCATTTTGGTAAAAATCCCCATATAATGTAATACTTAATTTAATAGTCAATAAAAATTTAGAATAAAATGGATATTATAAATATTTTATGCTCCCTCGATGGGAAAACGAAATATTCACACAGTTAAGAATCAAGAAACAAACTACTTTTAAATTGTTTTTAAAAAAATAAGGAGAGAGAATGAGATTTTTTTTTTTGGCCAATGGTCCCCGGGGATAAGTCTTAATTGAAAAAACATGTGGCAAGGCTTATATTTTGATAACAAAATGTGAATAATATTGGGATAAAAATAGCATACCCAATAGGCTTTCCCACTTAGTGTCATCCGTGAACAAGAGCAACTGAATTTAGGAATGACTGGGGATAAATCCCCATTTGATTTTTTTTCTGGGCCAATGGTCCCTAGAAATTTGTAAAGAATAAATGATAAAAATGTCCTTAATGAAGATATTTTGCACGCAGGGAAACTTCAATTACACATAACATATTTTGAATAAAAAGAAAAGTACATTACATGCATGCAAGGGATTTGTATATATAGAAGTTAAGTTGCATAAGAAAATATACATTACATGTAAGAGAACTTAGTTGCACTTGAGGAAAAACTGCGCGCAATGTATCTTTTCTTATGCAATTGAATTTTTTTACATGTAAAATATTTTCCTTTAAGTGCAATTACGCAGAATGAACTTCTTATATTATGTGCAAAGCTTCTTCCTTTAGGGTGTATTTGGTACGAGGGATTTGGGAGGAAAGAGAGGGAAGGGGAGAGATTTTAATCCTTTTCCTTTGTTTGGCAAAACGCAAAGTTTAGGAGGGGAGAAAAAATTTTAAAAAATTTTCCCTCCCCTCTCCTCCTCAACCTCCTCTTTAAAATTGGGAGGATTTAGCAGGAAAAGACAATATTTTATCATGTTGTGACATTATGCTCATATTTTGTCATATTGTGACTATTATGTTCA